ATCCGGCGATGACCTCAGACTGGAGGACAGTATGCAACACCATAGGGGGGAGATGCTCCACCAGCTTCTTGGTGGTCTCGGAGGGCACCAGCCCAGCCGAGGCTATCTCGCAGGCGTCCCCAATGCGCTTTTGAACGTAGTCCGTGATCTCGTCGTGGGCTATGTCAACTAGATAAAGCTTGACGGCTTCAGGGATGGAGTCCACCAGAGAGACCAGAACATGGTGGGATAGCTGGTCTACGACAGATTGTAGTTCAGATGGCTGGCCAGATACAATGGCCTTCTCTAGGCAGTCAAGAACGATGTCAGACAACTTGTCGGTGTCCGGGGAGGCCCCAAGGGCGTCAAGGACTTGAGCTTCGTCGGGGGCACTCTCCTCGAGAACAAAGATGTCGCAAAACATTGGGGGCGTCCCCGCATCGGAGCCAGATGTGGGATTAGCGGGAGCCCCTCGTTGACTAACACTACTCGGAAGTGCCATTTGGACTCAAAAGAAGAACTACTCAGTCTCATGATCTCTTATATAAACTTAACCCTCATCCTAAGAACTTGAATCGTCGTAAAAAGGGGCCATCCGGCCATAGCGAGATCGATCTGATGAGCATGAGTACGCGTGCACAAGCACGCATGCGCGACGAAAAGGGAGCCGCTCTACAATGGAGCTGGCGTGGTCTGTTGTGATCGACCATCCTTTACTCTACACCTCGCTTCACATAGTTTTAAACTACTACAGCATCTCCAGATCAAATAAATTTTTTACCGACAAATTTAATTTTTCACCCATTTGGTTAATGTTTTACCTTTCGAGTTCACATCGTCATCGTCATATTATTAAATCATAATACATTTATTCAGAGCTCAAATTTATTATATAAATGGCCGATCATATTAACGGCAGCAGAAACAGCACTGGAACTCTGGTTGTATTGGACTTACCTTGCGAGTCCTATATTAAAGCTGATGATCAACGAGGAATGCCTCCATCTTCATCTTTACAGCCACTATCGCCTCTTCGTGCTTCTTCCACATCAACTACCACCACTGGAGTAGATGAGGAACCTCCACTATTTGCAAGAACAACAACAAAGCCGAGTCCCGCTTACGACAACCTCAACCAAACGCTCCAGTACTTGACTAGTGTTCTAACCTCGGATACTCCGAATAACAACAACAACAGTCAACAGCGAGGGTTGACCAATATGATGGGAGGATTTTCCAACGACCTGTCAGTGTCACCATTCGTGCGACAGGCCAATGATCATGATGAAGCGTTCCCAGTGTTGACTGGGCCTAGTGAACCCCATCCTACTTGGGTTTCCCCTTTTTGCAGTACTGAC